AAAACCATATATGATATACTTGGAATTGCAGAACAGAGCTCTGAACCTTCAATGCCCCGACACAACAAACAGAGTTACAAACCCGCGCCTAAACCAACTAAGGCAACAAATCGATCTGAATCAAACTCGCCTGCATCCAATGTTTGCTATGCGTCAGAGTTTCCTGCATATGTCACCAAGGATATGGATTCAGTAGCAGAAAAAGTTCCATGTGCAGCACCGGCGGTGGAAAATGTTTCTATAACGTCGGCAGAACCCAATTCCTTATCTGCAGACAGCGCCATTCCCGCCTTTGGCACGCTCGCCGCTGCTGAAAACATTAGCAAGGCTGATACACCAGTCATGGTAGCGCATACAGCCGCACCAGCATTCAAGAAACCCGAGGACACTTTCTCTGCAGCTGTTACAAGTTCAGGACGGCCTGTCTACACAGTGGCTGAAGATCCAAAACCAGAGCCAACAAAGTCACCAGCTCTGAGCACTAAGAAACAGATCAAATTGTCATGCCTTTCAACGCCTGCTTCAGCAACTAAATCTGAGGGCGAGGAGCCAGCATTGCCAAGGGTGCTGTCATTCCGAGAGATCATGGAGCGAAAACGACGCAAGCAAGCAGCAGCAATAGCAACTACTCAGAATACTTCCGAAGATATTACCAATGACACATCTACAGAAGTTGTAGAGACTACTCCGATGGACACCCCATACGAGAGCCCAATGGATACATCGCGAGGAGATGCGCAAACACCAGTGTCCGTTGGAGACAAGCGACGTACATCTGGCGATGACGAAGGCATTGTCAGCGATGCGTCAGAGGGGAAGCGCGTGCGGCGTGCACCACCAAGACCAGTGATCAAGGACTACGTGGCGTTATTTGAGCAAGAGCTGGAAGATCTTTCTGCAGGTTTGAGTGGGCCGTTGGAGAACACGCCCTCGTCAGACAAGATCTCACATGCTATAATTAACGGGGGTGATATTGACACGGATATAAGTCAAATGTTTTAAACAATAAAAAAAGAAATGTATAAATGCCTCAGAACATGCAAACTCTGCTATCCTGACCAGCAGCCCAGATGCTTTGACGAGTGGCATTGGGTGCGTCCGTGGGAATAGCACGGATCTGACTAATTGGGTCAACATCAAATGCAACTAAATCCTCGATAATCTCAGCACCAACAGTGATGTCCAGAGATACAAGGTAGAGTTGCCCGTCCTCAGTACCGACACATATAAGTGACGAGGCAGAAGATCGACGTACCAGGCGGATCACAGACACAGAAGACTGGCCGCGTTTGAACGAATGTATGGGTGGAGCTTCTGGATTAGCATCAGACCATATCAACACAGAGCCATCAGACTGACCAGCAACCAGCAGGCCACGCTCAATATCGTAAGCTACAGCACGCATAGGAAGACCGCCAACAGATCCAAACACAGCAATGGTTTTTTTCAGGCGCAGATCCAGCACCACCACACGACCATCTTCGCAGGCGACAGCCACAAATTTTCCATCAGTTTCAAACTCATTTGGAGGCAACTCCGATTCCTCGCGTGTGCCCTTGTCGACCAGGTGAATCCGATTGATTGCAGCATCAGACAGGGCAAATGTATGGAGGAGAAGAGAGTTTCCACAATTCCAGAGGCGCACAGTACCGTCCTTCGCAGAAGATAGAACGTTTTTGCCTACTCCGACAATGGCCAGATCTGTGATAGTAGCGGTGTGTCCCACGAGCGTGGTTGGGTTGGTTCCATCGCTGGCAGACCATATCTTCAATCGCATATCCGAAGCCCCGCTGAGCACAACCTGACCAGATGGAAAGAATTGGCAGCAAGTGACGTCGCCCAAATGGCCCTGCAATTGGACACGATGTGCACCAGCTTCGGTCTCATACACATCCATGACGCCGTCATCTCCACAGGCAACCAGCAAGCCTCCGTAGGGACTAATATCGAAGCCGCGCACGCCTGTTCCACGAGCGATCTGTGGACATGCTGTGGTCTTGCGCGCAGATGTGTAGAGTGCTGGTGGAATGTCCAGTGTGCTG